CATAAGAAATGGAACACGGTGCCAAAGAAAAAGAGCAACCTCTTGATGTCACCCTGCAGGCACTTCTCCAAACCCATATCCTGAGGTGGGCACTTCTCTCTTCTGCCCATGCCTAGTCTGTGATCATCTAACCCAGGTTGTTAAGAGTATCAGGCCCAAAGGCTTGACTAGTGGCTTCCATGGCAAAATGTACATTAATGGCACATCACTAAGAGTTACCTGCTGGGGTCTGGTGGAGAAGACTGCACCTGCCCACATAATCAGAGGCAGCCTCATAACATGCATGTGCAAGGGGGCAAAAGAACCATAGGATCCTAGGAAAGTTGGGCTGGAAAGCAACTCAAAAAAAGTCATCTAGTCAAGACAGGTTCGTCCCAACTTAACCAGCAAATCAGCCCGAAGTAAAAAGGCCTGAAAACCAGAATCTTGCCACACAAAGCTTTGGGCAGCTCATTCTAGCAGCAGTCAGCAATGTTTTAGAGACGTGGGCAGGAAAACCAGGCTCAGGGCTGAGACAGACCAGCTCTGACCTGGCCACTGCTGAAGCTCCATGCAGTCAGGCCCACAGACCATATGTTGTCAACCCGCAAGTTATAGAAAGGGCTTACTATACTGTCAGCAAGAACCCAGTTGTCCAGTTAAAGCAGGGAACACTGCACAGGCTAAGGACAGCCCTCTACCTGGGATCTCTCAAGCATATGTTAACAACCTTTTACAGAAGCACCATGGTTCCCCTGCTTTACTGGTGGCAAGTTTGGGTATGTCTTGCGTTACACCAGGGTTGCTGGTAGTTTTACGAGGAGTTTAGATTATAGATTTGCCTAGGATGGTTTGGACAGGGCTGATCCTACTTCAGGCAGGGAGCTGGACTAAGTGTGACCTCTGGAGGTCTCTTCCAGACTGATTTCTCTCTATGATTTCTCTGATCACAGGAGCCTGACTAGACCATAGTGGCAATACATACCGTGATACCAGCACCATCAGATTATTTTCCTTGTCAACACTGTACCGCCGGACATAGACATAGTCCCGTGAGTACATGGGGTACTAGAAGGAGAAACACAAAATCAGTCCCTCCCCATCTCAGGTTCGGGAAGAAACATCCCGAGACAGGGAAGGGAAAAGAGCTACTCACTGGGAAGTGGGTTACCCAGTGGACCACTTCCGAGCCAGTGGTCACATCTCGCTCTATCACATCCAGTTTGATGACTAGAGAATCCCATTTCTTTCGGTACTCGGTGTCCAGCTAGTGAGAGAAGAAAGAACTCAGGAGAAGAGTAACATGGAGCAAAGTGATAACATGTTCTTCCAGCCAGTGGTGGATATGCAAGGAAAAGCCAATTCTCTTGGGAAATCAGACCCAAGTCTGTTGAAAAGCTTGTGAAAGCCCAGCTTCATCTAACCAGAAAAGACAAAGGCTCCAAAGGGGAAATTTAGGAGCCCTGCTGTCATCTCACTGCACAGTGGCACAAACTAGGACAGGAGGGCAAGACACGGTTCCCCTCTAGGGCTGTTTCTGGCAGCCTGGTTTTACAAAGAAGTGGTTTGTGGCTTTAGAATCTGACCCTGTAGCCTTCTGCAGCATGTGACTGCAGAGTTTAAGGTGGACAGCCAAGCAAGCTGCCGAAGTCCGGCCTCACCGGTGACTTCCCACCCACCATGCTCCTGATGCACTTGGGTCTGGTTTTGGAGGCATGTGCCCTGGGAGAGCCATCTTTCCTACAGAACTCTGTCTCCAGGCTCCGTCTCCAGGCTCCAACTTCCAGGCTCTTTCTGGCCAAGAACACTCCTCAACCTGCAACATCCATCACACAGCTTGAATTCTCTTGGTAATAAACACTGGGGAGTAGAGATCACCCCATGGATACAAAGGAAAAGCCAAAGAGGGGTGAAGCTAATGGCTGGGGAGCAGAAGCTGTACTCAGAGACCCACAGACTGCCAGCTCAGCTAAACTAATGTGCCTGTGGGCTTTGCTAATTCCCCCATGAAGCCAGGAAGGAATTTTTTCTCCTCTCCTATTTCTACAGGGAAAAGAAAAATCCTGTTCACCTTCCTCAGGAGTGCTGGATGTTGGCTGCAGTCCAGGCTAGGGAGGGAGACTGGGCTGGACCAGTGTTCCTGCTGGGACTCAAACCTGGAGGTTCCTGGTTAGGGGGTCTTTGCCCTACACTCAAGGTTCAGACTGATGCTGCATTGGGCATCAGGAGTTCTCCCCACCTTGCCAGATAGGCCCAGACTGGGAGGGGTTTGCTTTCCTCTACAGCAGGGGTACAGCCTCCACCTGGGATCTCTCGAGTACATTTAACCCCCTGGCAGCAGAAGGGCACTGCCAGCCCTCATCACCTGGCATCACCTGGAGCAAAGCTGGAGGCTCTAAGTGTCTCTAGGCCTTGCTGCTGTGTACATGGCTGGAACGTGGTGTTAGGAACAGGTCAGACAAGGATGCATCTGGCAGGGCTTGTATGGGGCTGATCCTGGCTTGGACTAGCTGTGACTTCTGGACAGCCCTGCCTAGTCTGGCTGTGACTCTGAGACTCTCATCACACACAGATCACCTGACTGTGGGCAGGTGATGACGAAGCAAGTGCTGCAACTGGCAGGCCACCCCTGCTTCTTCTCTGCCCCACAGCCCATGTCACTGGCTGGCTGCAGCACTAGGCAGGGACATGGTTGTACTTCTACACCACTGGGTTTTCTGAGCTTAGACATAGGGTCTGGGAACGCTCACCTGTACATTGAAGAACTGTCTGGGGGTCACATCTGTGTAGGTCCCAAAAACTGTGGGGAAGAGACACAAAAAGGTGTAAGCCAGGCTGTATGGCAAGGTCAGAGGCAGACAGAGCTGGCACCATGGCACACGGAGAAGGGGAAGACAGGGCTGGCAAGGAGAACAAAGGGACATGGAGTGATTCTGGTTGGGAGCAGAACAGCTTAGCACTGGGAGGGAAGGAAGCCACAGCCAATGCAGACACAGCATCTGAGAGGCACGCGCAGCCGTACCAGGCTTCCCATGAGACCCACAGTGCAACAGCTCAGCCGGGGTAGGATTACCTCTGTACTGATAGAGGTGGTTCCCTTCAATTGGCCGTCGCCACAGCTTGAAGTGCTTCTTGTCCATCACCAGCTCCCAGGTGGGCTCACTGCATGCTGGCATTACAGGCTCCGGCTGCTCCTCGCTGCCACTTGGGAAGAAGCTGACCATCTCCCGCGTGCGCTTCATCTCCTCTGCGGACCTTGGGGAGAGGAAGGGAGATAGGAATCAGCACAAGTTGGCCAGTATCATCCAGCAACCCGCCTGATACAGCCTCCAAGGCCAGCTATGCACTTCTAATGAGCTAGCAGCCTCAGTCATCCTGGTGATGGCCACAAAACCCAACAGCTCCATTGGATCCCCATCCTCTCTCATAAAGCCACAGGCTCAGAGCTCTATGCCCTTGGCTGGCCTGCAGACATGACAGGTTCCTAGTGAAAGCTGTTAAAAAGCAACACACTTTCTCCCAGGCTCTGGGAAGGCTAAAAAGCAGCAGTGGAGAGCTGTGATTCATGCCAGACCTGGTGCTTAGAAAGCTGGGGCAGAAGGAGCAATTTTGGAATCAGGGATCAGATCCCAATTGCACCACTACTTGCAAGGACAGGAGGAGCCCAGGACAATAGTCCCAGGCTCTCTTTACGCTGGCAAGTGGAAAGTTAGGTGCTGCAGCCCTGCACAAGAGGCTGGCAGTCAGCCGTCTGCTCTGGGCCTGGTTTGAGACTCACGTCTGCCAGCCTCGGTCCATGGACAATCAGCTGCTTGTTGGTCACAGCTTGTCAGCCTCAGGTTCAAGACTCTCTAGTTTTACCAGGAATTGAAAACTCTGTGCCCAGCATAAGTATTTCCCATTTGACAGCACCTTAAACACATTAATCAGGGAGTAAATGAAACACATAGAGCAAGCCTGGAACAGTTGCAGCAGCAGGCTTTCCCCTGCAGGGGCATGGCAAGCCACTGAGGGAAGTGGCTTCTCAGCTCCTGGCTTAGTCTAGCCAAGATTGTCCATGGAGTTTCCAGCTGAGAGCTGGAAGAGAGGTGGCCGTAACCGGGATCCACAAGCCTGTTTGGGTGCTGTTCCCAGGAAATGGTCTATTGAGGAGAAACTGCTCATGCGCAGTGAATTCAACAGGAAGCTGTGACGTCTGGCCACAGGCTTCCTGGGAGCTTGGTGGAGAGGCGAGCAAAGGCCATGTTTATTAGCCATGGTTCCAGGAGGTTCATTCACCTACTCCCCCACCATCACCAGCTCACAGTGCCTCTCTGCTATGTGTACTGGCCAGACCCGTGTGGGAAAGAACATAGATGCCAAGCAGCCATCACTTCCAGACAGATACATAGATACTGCAATATTCCTGCATGTCCCATCACTAACCCTGGAGCAGCTGATCTCGGACAGCAAAGCTTTACAAACCAACTTGAGGTGGAAACCATGGAATAAGAGGTCACTCACAGACTGGATCCAGATACATCTGGTCCAGACCAACGCTATGGATTCTTATCCTGTGACCTGCAGCAGCTTTGTCCCTCTGTGGATTACAGCTTTATTTCTCTTTCCTACCCGCTGAACCCCCAGCATTGCCCCCATCTTTCTCCTCCCCCCACTTACTATTCAAATCACTTCTTTCTATTTAGCAGCTCTGCTCCCTGCATTCCCTTCACAGCATCACATAATGTCACTGCTTACAAAAACTTATGCATCTCTGATTTAAACTAGAAAGCACAACACCCCCTTCCCCCTCTTCTACCTGATCTCAGACTAACGGGGTGAATTACTTCTCCCCATTCTTGGAACAAGGTGAAGCTTTATGAGTTAGCTTGTTCCCAGAGATGCCTGGAGCCAGAACAGGTGGGAGGCAAGGCCCGTGCTGACACAGTCGGAAGGGAGCTGTCCCAGATAATCCAGGACAGGGCATTACTGAGCTGCTGACCATACTACAATTAGCATGTCAATCCTGTTATGAGTGGAGGTCCCATGAGATCCAGCTGATCTCCATGCAGCCTATTTCAGATTACTGACAAGTCTTCAAGAGCGCTTCTGGCCTGCCCAGCAGCTGGCAGGAAATCTCAAACAGCAGCTGCCACTGGTGGGTTGCTCTTTGCTGCAACACATTGTCCTACCAGGGCTAGGCCACAGTCCCAGGACAGCCAGGAAGGGAAGCATTCACATAACAAGCTCAGTAGCTCAACTGACCACTGGATGTATGTGGCAGCTAGGCAGAAAGCCATCAGAAAGGAGGAGCACCCCTCCACCCTTTCCCACGGACTCCACAATAGTAGGAACAGCACTTCTTGACAGCTACCTCTTTCCTATGGCAGCCTAACAGAAGCATCCTCTTCTCTTACCCTATGACTCCCACCAGGTATCAGGACATGGTTAGACTCTGGCAGCTTTAGCATTCTGTTCTTGGCACCTATAGGCAAAGGCCTTTCCTGGTTAGGCAGGCAAAGGCCTGTGAACATTATCCTGCAGCCACTTGTGTTGCCCACACTTTTCAGGTCCCAAAAGATAAGGAACTTTTGGGAGTGGGGAAAAAGGAGCACATCGTATGTGAGAAAATACAGTATCCAACAACTATTTTTTGCTGTTACTTGACCAGTCTGTTGACCCACTTCCCAACCCTACTCACATGCCCCCACTTTGATTTAAAGAGCACCAGTTGACCAACATCAGAGAATGGGGGCTACTATGGCAGCTTTAAATTCTGCACGTGCTCACTTGTAGGATTCCAGGCTCAGCCACGAATGCAGCCTTGAATGTCAGGCCTGCAAGAGCAAGTTTCTGCAGATCCCTCCCTCCTGGCACTGGCTCCAAGGTACCCAGTTACATTTACAATTATTTATGATCATGCATTACCATTTTTTTAAATAGAATCTCACTTCATCATTTCACAGAAACAAAAACCTTAGGTTTTGGTAATTAGGGTGCTAGCAAGTGCATTAATTATGTACACCTACGACTGGATATCAAGCACTGAAGAGAAAAAAAAAATTCACATGAATACATGGTAGGAAGGGAACTAGCCAGGTAAAAAACAGACCTAACTTCAGGAAGCAAAAAGAAATTATATTGTTGGTCTCAAGCTCAAGCAACAGAGACAAGCAAGAAAAAATTAAGCTGAAAGCAAAAATATAGAGAGGAGAAATATCCAAGAAGAACCAAGGTTTCTTTTTTCAGCTTGTGATACATCCACCTAGCCCTTGCGACACAGATGTTTGTGAAATACAGGTAATAGGCAAAGAGGAAAAGCTTCTTATCTGAATATAAATAGAAGTATAAAGAGCTTTAGTTGGCTTGATGACAAGACGCAGGTGCAGCCTCTCAACAGCCTGAAATAAGTTTTTGTGACAGCTTTCGACTGCAGTTTTCTGTGCCATTGAGAATGGTGACACTGAGTTTTCAACCATGAAAGCTTTACCAGCATGAGTCCAGATTCCTGTACAGAACAGCGAGGCTCCATAATAGATACCAAGGATATATAACAGGATGTTACCAAGCGCAAAGACATCAGCGTCTTGGATTCTGTGCTTTCACCAGTATTACTGTAAAGGGGATGGGGTAATCAGTCATAGAACAGGGTGTTTTCTTTCCAAGGTTACTATACTAACCTCTTTCCTAGACGTGGTTTTTTTTGTTTTACCATTACCTTATTTATTCACATACCGCTCACCTCTCCCCCTGAAAATTAGCCTTCGAAAACTGAGGTGTGCATCTCAACAAGGAAAGTGATACCGAACTCTTGTTCAGTTAAAAGGAAAAGATTTTTTTCCCCCTTCATTCTGCTTTCCCAAAACAAGGCATGTGGTACATGAAAATGCAATAAACTGGATTGTTTTTCACTGCAGCCCTAATTCGTCACCCTAATTCAGTGATTCTCAAACAGGGTGTCAAGACAGGTTACCAAGTACTATGAACCAATACAAGTACTAGTACAAGTACGAACTGAACCGAACCATAGAGAAGCTGGGTTGGAAGGGACCTTAGAGGTCACATCCAGTCCAAACCCCATCCCAGCCTAATCCTTGAATACAGAGCGATCAACCCAGAAACCCACAAATCTGCAGGTGCTGGAAGGTGATGAGAAGGTGACCATCTCTGGCTGCAGCCAACGCCAGATGCCTCTGAAGGAGGTTTAAAAACGCCCTGACGCACAGCACTTGGATTGGAAAGTGATCAGCTTACGAAATCTTGAAGGGGAGAGTTGCATATAGTACTAGATACTAAATATGCAAGCCTAGTCCCTGCAAATATAGGTGCCAAGTACGCAAGTGTAGTCTCTGCCCAAGGCGGGATGTGCCCTGTCCAAACCACCCTATATAAATCAATCATCTGACTTCTTAGTAAAGCTACTGTCAACACAAGACAACACACCCGAATCCGCCACGGGGAAAGCAGGGGGACCACGGTGGCCAACATCCTGCTACTATAAAAGGTTAATATACACTTCAGATGCCAGGTAGAGGCCACATCCCCCACTACAGAAAAAGGCAACCCCCCCCCCCCCCCCCCACTACAGTCCATACCAATCTGACCATGGGGAAAAATACCTTCCTGAACCCAAACAGGGCAATAGGTCTGACTGAGCTGAGGGGCAAGACCAATTAAGTCAGGAACAGCTGGGTGTGAGTGTCAACAGGAACAGTGGCACAGCCCAGTCAAAATTCCCAGCCTGGGCTGCAGCCAACACCCAATGCCTTTCAGGCAGGTTTAAAACCACCCTGACACACAGCTCTTGGATTAGAAGGTGAAATATTTTGAGAACAGATGCCAAGCATGTCAAAAAGTCTTCTTTAAAAGGAACCTCCCTTTGGGGGATAACAGAAAGCAATGTACAAAATACCACTAACCCCTTCTGAAAACCTAGGCTTGGAGACATACAGGGATGGTGACAAGAATAAGACCTAAACACATTCCTTACCAGCCACCAGCACCTGCAGATTGGTGGTTTTCTGGGTTGACTGCTCTTTATTCCAGGATTGGGGGTGATCCTGCTTCAGGCAGCAGATTGAACTAGATACAACCTCCAGCCTGACTTCCCTATGATTCTATTCAATTGATAACAGGTACAAAGCACAGAATAAGACAGTTCCCTGCTGCACAGACTATCAGTCCATCCATAATTCATGTACCTTTGTGCACTGTTCTCTATCAATACCTCTGCTCTTTATAGTTCTTCCCGGTGACCATCACTGCACACCCAGGCT